AGATATTATATTTAATGATTTCACCAGTTGAATAATATATTTAAAGAATAATAGTTGAATATATTGCATGTTAATAAGTTTGTTTACACTTTTAACTTATTTACCTATATATCAATTGTTATTATTTAGTCTTAAGTATTCCTTTTTAAGAATGAAAAATTACATATGTTTTTCCATTTTGTAATTAATTATATACCAGTTGTGTCAATAATAGTGTTAATATTAGTAAATATATATATATATATATATATATATATATATATATATATATATATATAAAGGGAAGAGATTAAAGTAGTTCCAAATTCAAGGAAGACATTTGGGTCACTAACACACAAAAAAGAGAATGTCTAATATCAACAATATTTAACATTGAAAAACATAAGAAAAATTAATTTTAATATTATGTGGAAATAGCCACTCTTTGCCTGATGAAGGTTGTGAGACTGGAAACCCGTGTAGCAAAATTATGGAAAATAAAGCATAATATATTTAAAAAAAAAACGTTTGCAGTTTCTGTCTTCTTTTTATTATATATATATATATATATATGACATGAAAACGCTCCAACGAGTGCTCAGGATCACCTCGTTGGTGATGTTATGACTTGGGGTTATGACAAGTTTCGGGTCTTCCAACATCATACTCGTTCACCCAAGAGATCCTACCGAAACAGTTCTATTCCGGCAGGCAATCCTGAAGCAAAAAAAATACACCAATCATGCAACAAATGGACTCATTAAATAAATATTTGTATATATATATATATATATATATATATATATATATATGTGTGTGTGTGTGTTCTGCTATGCTCTATGTCAGGCCAAAAATGGAGTACTATTGCTATATATGGGAAGGAACTGCCCAGTTTTCACTTTCTAGTCTTGATAGAGTTCAAAAGTGGTTCTGCGTCCTTACATGGGATGAATTATTTTCCATCCTTTCAATCACTTTCTCACAGATGAGACATTGCAAACCTCTCACTGCCATATTGCTATTTCCATATTAACACTCACCAAGTTATATATTGTACTGAACTACCTTCATTCTCTTTATATTCCATTGGTGAGATATAAGTTCCACTTGAGCAGCTTCTTCCCACAGATCACTGCTTTGTGGAACTTATTCCCAAGAGGATGCTTCCCTGACTGCTACAATCTTAACATGTTCAAGTTTAGGGTTAACCATTATCTTCCACACATATCTTCATAAACTGTGTCCTTTATTATGTACCTCTCTACCTAGAGTGGCTATTGGGCCCTTTACAGAGTGAACATCATTGTAAAAAAAAAAAAATGATACAATATATCCAAGGAGATAAGCCCTGTTTTAATTCATTTATAATTCTATACGAGCAATATCATAGAAGTTCTTGCTTCTTTTATTCTACAATTTGAAATCACAGTTTGCAACAATTTTGGTTAAATATTCAGTAGATCATTATCCTCATAAGGATGATTAATTAAATTTTAGGTGATAATTAACTTTAAGTAATACCTAAATTATCTTAATGAGAAAGTTAAAGGCTGAAGAACTAGATTATTGAAACCTGAAAAGCTTGTTTGCATCACTCATATTGTTTGAAGGATTTCTTATCAATTTTCCAAATGTTAATTGGTTAATTGCTGTCGTTAGGGTTAAGTAAAGTAATCAGTGAATAATTAGAATTGGAATTATGTTTGTATATTGTTGATTAAACTAAGGTCAGTCTCTTTTCATCAAGTATTTGTAGCAGTCTCCCAGTTATTTCTTAACTTACAAGGTATCTCCGCTTCTTCATCTCTGTTTAAATTTTGTATGACCATTTATTTGCTGGGATCTCTACCATCCTTCTCAAGATTGATTCTTCTTTTGTTGCTTTTTCTGATTTCTTCCACATGAACACAAAAGAATCCAGGAAAGAAAATGATTGTTGGTTATTAATGTAACAAGTTTAGTGACAAGACAAGTGTATTTTTTTTTAAATGATTGTTCAAAAAATTCTGATTTGAGAAAGAGTTGTGTATAATTTTTTAAACTATATTTCATCTTTCCAAGGTGTAATATTCAAATTTAAGATAAAAGTCTCGTTATATATAGCTTGGTATACTTGTCTAGAACTTTAAAAAAAATGATCACAAACATACTAGGATAAAAGAAATGATAACCGATGGAGCAAAAGGTTGCCTAACTGGTGCTCAACAAGTAGGAAATGCAGTCAAAGTAAATGGTGATGGAGAGATGAGTTTGTTGGTAAGATATGGTAAATAGTAGCACAGTTATGTTCACTATAGAAGGATCTTGAAATAGCTTTCTCCTGTAATACACTACTAATGGGTTGTTGTAATGATGATGATGATCATGAAGATGAGGAGGAGGAGGAAGAAGAGTGTGAAGATATACCTTTTTAACCAGGACAAAATTATAAGTATACTGTATGTTTATCCGTATACTGCAGAAGCCAATGCTCAGTAGACATTGGCTTCTTTTTTTATTAATAATGTTTCCATTATTTTGAGCCATTTTTTTACATGTGGATGAGGCTATTATATTTGTATTATCAATGAGTATATTGCAGATGGAGTTTAGTAGGTTTTCATTTTTATTTAAATAAGATCTAATTGAGCTATGGTCAGAGAGATATAAATTGAGTCTTCTTGTTAGGCATGTTGTAGTATGCCCAACATAATTATTTATGAATTTGGATTGATCAGGATAACAGTTCCTTAAGGGACATGTGAATTAGTAAATATTGGTTCTCTGTAAAAAAAAAAAAAAAAAATGGAATAAAAACTGCAGTACCTTGTCAGTTGTTTTTAATGAAACTTGTATAAAATAGGGTTTGCTGCTCAAATTCCTAGAGTTATAGGAATGTTTTTCAACTATGAATACAGCCACAATGTGCTGATTATTTTTGGAAAATAAGACATTCCTATAATTCTAGATATATACATAAAACAAACCATACATTCAGTTAAAAGTAAAAAAAAAAATCAGTAAAAATAAAATCATCATTGATAGCAGAAATTGCATGGACATCCAGAATATTCCAGCAATTTTTATATAATTTATGTCCAGAAAAGAAAAAATTATAAGAACACAAGAAAAAATTAAATAAAAACTTAACTGCAGTACCTTGTCAGTCATTTTCAATGAAACTTTTATGTGTATATATATGTATGTATGCTTTCTGCATTCTGTTGAGGTTTCTTTCAGACTCAATGAATTACTTAAATATAATTATCAAATCCTCCTAATAATTTCTATCATGTGTATATCATCGCTTGAACTGGCTTCTAATGCCCTAGAGTGAGCGGCTTGGTGAGAGTAGTTATGGCTCCAGGGGGCACAGTCCTATGGTTAGAGAAAACTCAGTCGAGTCCCACCATGGAATATGTGAGGGAACGGCACTATATTGAGTCTTATTTGCAATCTCTTTGTCACCGAGGCCCGTTGGAACAGTTGGTATGATGCTTGACAACCTGTCAGGGTTTCAATTCTCGGTAGTGGATGCGCACTGTTGATGAGTCCTAAATATAGAATGAAACGGCCATCCAGTGTTTTCTGCATTCTGTTGTGGTTTCTTTCAGACTCGATGAATTAATTAAATATATATATAATATATATATATATATATATATATTACTTCAAAAATTATTTTTAGTAGATACTTGTATTTGAGTAGATGCTTTGGTTATTTTAAACACAATTAATTTCATCTATCGACCTGCGTAATTGAGAAAACTTAAAGAAAATGCACTTTCTGGAAGACTTTAAACATACTTCTCACTCTTTTACCACTCATATATGAAGAGCTTTACAATGAAGCAAAGTTCTCTTTTGCTTTTAAAGCACATTCACTCATTCAGATTTTCTCAAAATGCATATCTGATCAATTTCGTATCTGAAACGTAAACAAAGCAATTTCTAAAGAATTAATGGATTTTATTTTCCAATCCAACATTGTTACTACTTCAAACATTATTTTAAGTGAATACCTGTATTTATGTAGATGTTCCATTTATTTTAATCAGTATTTATTTCATCTACCAGCCTTCATACAAGGTATAAGCAAGAGGAGTGCTTATAAATATATATATATACACACACACACACACATATGTGCTTCACCATGAATATTTAGCAAGTGAGTATATCAGACTTTGATTACAGTATTGTGAGATCAGTCTTCATTGGGTGCCCCATACCTGTGGTCTTGTTTCATGCAAAGATAAGATTATTAAATAATCACAGATATATTAGTCCAGAAATGATTAATCTCCTATTATTAAATTTATTCACATTCTGTCGAAAGAATGTAGAAGAAAGTTTTAAGAAAATAATGCGGCTCATTTAATGCCTTTTTTTGTAAAAATAATTACGAGTGCCTTTATAATAATTTTAGAAGAATTTTTATTTTCCAGATGGGAATTTTTTAGAACACAAAGACAAAAGAATTAGATTAAGAAAGACATAAAGACAAGCAAAATAAGTTGTAAAAAAAAAAAAGAAAAGGAATAGAAACAAAAGAAATTGATGAAAAAGAATTTGAAAGTAAAGGCATTAAGTTGAGTAAAATGCATGCATTTATTCTTCTTTTCTTTTCCTGACAGCCTTAAAACAAAAGAAATATTTCTTAATAGAGACCTTTGAAAGATTATATCAATAATTTTTTTGCCTTGAAGTGAAGGTTTCTAAATGGTCATTTTTATTTTTCATTGTATTTTTTTCCTTTTAGAACTGAAATTCCCAAATGAACATTTTTTCTTAAGAAAAGAGATAAAAAAATAATAGCAATTACAAATTTGCTATTCATAATGTTGTCGATAAAATGAACAATAACAAAAAGTAATGCTGATAACAACGAAAAAATAAAAATATTAGCCAAACTTGTTTAACAAAATGTAATAATAATAAAAAATTCAGTAACACAAATTTGAATGAACAACAAGTCTAAACATGATTTAAAAGTTTCATCAATTAAACCAATGAATTCAATATAAGAAAGAATATAATAG